CCATCCTGATATATACCAAGTTAATACACAGAAAAATGGAGATACAGCAAACCTATGAGGAACACAAAATTACATAATATACCATAGTAAACACCAGTTCCGGATCAATAATAATTACAACCACAAGATAAAATGTGGCCTTCAGTAAAACATTTTCTCCAAATTGATAAGCATTACTGATCTTCTACAATGCTGGAAACATACATAAAAATAATAGTTCAGAAAGCTCACATACTTCAAATGAAGTACCAATATACTATATATAACTCAAGTACAAAATAATATAGCATATCACATATCACCTGACAATATGAGTAGACATTGCTAAGATACTACACAGCCATGTGGTTGGCGTAGGGATGCTATATACCCTGAAGCTCATGATTGGATGTACATCATGTTGGATAAATGCTTTATATTTATTCTTCCCCCACACCCTCAGCCTCACTACCCCCCACACCACCCTCAGCCTCACTTCCCCCCACACCACCCTCAGCATCACCACCCCCCGCACCACCCCCAGCCTCCACTACCCCACCACCCTCAGCCTCACCACGCTCTCACTGCCACCCCAGCCTCACTGCCCCCACCACTCTCAGCCCCTCACACCTCTCCCACCGCCCCCAGCACCCCCACTGCCACCCCCACCTCCTTTACCCCGCCTCGCCTCCCCCCCCCACACCACCCTCAGCCTCGCTGCCCCCCCACACCCTCAGCCTCCCTGCCCCCCAGCCTCACTGCCTCATCCTCAGCATCCACCACCCCCCCACACCCTCAGCATCACCACCCCAACCACCCTCAGCCTCACTGCCCCCACACCGCCCCAGCATCACCACCCCACACCACCCTCAGCATCACCACCCCCCACACCACCCTCAGCATCACCACCCCTCAGCCTCCCCCCACCACCCTCAGCATCACCAGCCCCGCCACCCTCAGCATCACCACCCCCCAACCACCCTCAGTCTCACTACCACCCACACCACCCTCACTACCACCCACAGCCTCACCCCCCTCCACCCTCAGCCTCACTACCCCACACCCTCAGCCTCACTAATAATTACAGGATTGCTAAAGGAAGTACCTCTAGCAGATGCTGAGCCATAAATGGTTTCTTTACAGCTCAGCTTACACTATGTGTAAATGAGTGCTTGTAGAGGACAGCCTCTTTGTACCAAACCACTACATTAAAGGACCACTCTAGGCACCCAGACCACTTCAGCTTAATGAAGTGGTCTGGGTGCCAGGTCCTTCTAGGGTTAACCTATTTTTTTTATAAACATAGCAGTTTCAGAGAAACTGCTATGTTTATGAATGGGTTAAGCCTTCCCCCTAATCCTCTAGTGGCTGTCTCATTGACAGCCACTAGAGGCACTTGCGTGCTTCTCACTGTGAAAATCACAGTGAGAGCACGCCAGCGTCCATAGGAAAGCATTGTAAATTGGAGGAGGATCGGAGGAGGAGAGCTCCCCGCCCAGTGCTGGAAAAAGGTAAGTTTAACCCCTTTTCCCCCTTCCAGAGCTGGGCGGGAGGGGGACCCTGAGGGTGGGGGCACCCTCAGGGCACTATAGTGCCAGGAAAACGAGTATGTTTTCCTAGCACTATAGTGGTCCTTTAAGCTTTATTATGGTTCTTATAGTGTCCATTTAACTGTATGTTATGAGCTACACAAAAGATTAAATTTAAAGCCCTGCTCAAACAAGCTTACATTCTAGAGGGATCTTTACATGATGAACATTCTGCATCTTGACCTTATGCATGAAGATGCTGAATTCTCCCCATAGGGATGCATTTGGATTATAAAGCTCTATTAGAAGATTGTGATTGGCATAGTGCTGCAATTGTCCCACATGTGAGTAGCCTTCCCTCCTCTCAATGCTCCCCAATCAGAAGTATTCGTCTGGCTGAGATCAAGGGAAAAAGCTGCCATTGTGGCAAGAAAAATGGTACATATTCTTATTTAACTTTTGGGGGAGATGGGACTATATATGAAAAAAAATGAAAAGAAAATACAAATACACAAGTGCTCAGTATATACCCCTAAATGAAAATTAACCAATTAACTCCACTGTACTCTAATAATTTAAAGAACTTCACACACAATTGATTGCTTCTACCAGGACTTCCTCCCTGTCACGATAGATGTAAGGGAACACACACACACAGACCCTGAAACACAGAGGTAAAGATGCCATATTACCAGGCTTTAGAGTGGCTAGACTTAACGTACAGAATAGTCAAAGTGTAAAGGGAAGTGAAGGGAAAGAGAAATCAGGTAAACAGTAGACAAGCCAAAAATCAGGAACACAGAAAGAAGAATAAGCGTGTAACAAGCCAAGGTCATTAACAGGAATACTACAGAATACAATACGCACTATTGGGCTAAACAAAAACCACAACAGAAATATAAAGGCCACCCCTACAAGTAATTGGTCATGAGTGAGCTCCGAAAGAGCCGAATTCGGCAAGTTGCGGACCGCAAATGATCACAGAGGGACGCGTACAAGCAGCGTGTGGAATCAATCACCCTGTCGGAGCAGTGTGCGGGGGGCCTCGGAACAGGTAAGTATTACACCACCATCCTGATATATACCAAGTTAATACACAGAAAAATGGAGATACAGCAAACCTATGAGGAACACAAAATTACATAATATACCATAGTAACCACCAGTTCCGGATCAATAATAATTACAACCACAAGATAAAATGTGGCCTTCAGTAAAACATTTTCTCCAAATTGATAAGCATTACTGATCTTCTACAATGCTGGAAACAGACATAAAAATAATAGTTCAGAAAGCTCACATACTTCAAATGAAGTACCAATATACTATATATAACTCAAGTACAAAATAATATAGCATATCACATATCACCTGACAATATGAGTAGACATTGCTAAGATACTACACAGCCATGTGGTTGGCGTAGGGATGCTATATACCCTGAAGCTCATGATTGGATGTACATCATGTTGGATAAATGCTTTATATTTATTCTTCAGCTTTTCATGGTATTTTAATACTCCAGAAGCCCTGTAGAAGATTTGTTTATGGTAAAATGCATAGGGAGGTTGACTCCCTGCCCCTAGGTGATATACTGTTATTTATTTATTTTTTACTAGAGATACATATAATAAATTTGAACTTTATTTGAAGAGTATGAGCGATGGGAAGATAAGAGATAAAAAAAGCTTCAGTACTTTATTTCTGCTATAGAGGGTACCTTTAGGTTGATCAAGCTCACATCTAAGATGCCCTCTTAGTATACTCATGGGATTGTCTCCCATCCCTATCAGACACGTGCTCAATAAAGTCCAGACATTCTGGCAACAGTTGTGGGTAGAGGGTCAGCACTTTGATTTCATTGGTTTCTATTGTGTTGCTGCAGCCTTCCTTCAGCTCCCCACTATGATTTATATATTTTACTTGCTTGTCCCACCGTTATGTTGAATCTTGTACTGTATAAATATACTGTCTGTAGTTCAGTAAACAAGTTGTCTTTATTTGTACAGCAGCCTTGTCTAGTGTTTGGGTAGAAGATTTGATATGTATTTATCCCTTCATTCAGTGATTGGCTTATGGATGTGCAATACCACTGAAGAAGCTCAGGCTGTGTGAGGTATCAGGTAGCTGTGGTAGTCTGTGGAGGTTGGAAAGGAGACGTGAAAAATGCAATTGCAGGTTCAGCTCTAGTTTCAAAATTAGGGACAAAGCACCCTATTCCTGTTACATGTTTCTTGATTTATTGGTATGTGAGCAGCTTGTGCATAAGTGAAAATTAGCATTGGCTGTCTGTTAGTGGTCAACTTTTTGAATGTTAAAACATGTAAACAGAGATGGTTTAAACGCAGCAAGATAAATAAGGGTTCAAGATTTTGAAGTAGAAGGAAGCAATGTGAGCTTGTGCATATGGTTTTAGCAGAAAAGTTATTTTAGGGTTGGATTACCTGTCAAGCTACTCACACACATAAGAAAACATAATAGGAGATCAAAATATATTGATATATTTCACAATAACCAGTGACAAAATGAAGATGGATCTTGGTATCAAATAGTATTAAGCAACTGGGTTAATTAACATACGTGTCATTAAAATGCAGCTGTGAGTCATTGTTAATACCATTGTTACTTAGCATTTAGCGTCCCTTATTATTCTTTATGGGCGCAAACAAAACTTTCAACACCCACTAATTGACAGTCACTAAATGTTGAGGTTTGTAGCATGGAAATAAGCTTGGCAACAGATATTTGAGCAATTACCAATTTTCTGCTAAATGTTTGCGACAGAAGTGTCTAGTCTGTGATAGCCTTAGATGAAAACAGTGACAATGCAAAGCTAATATATAGACAGTATGTTATCTAAGTAAAATGAACAAAATACAAACAAAAAAAAACTCAAAATAGGACACACGTACACATCATAACTTGAACTTTGGTGCTCTACAAGATTGCATAAGGTTTCTCTTTCCTGGTAATCCATAAACTTCAATAATCTTCGGAACGTCTCCTGTTATTTTGTGATTAGGTGTTTTGTAACTACACGTATGATGACTAAAGTGGTGAACATCTTGAGTGAGCCATCTCAGAAGGGCAAAGGTCTTGTAGGACCCAGACAAATCTCTACCAGATATCTAGTTCACCTTCCCTTCTATTCTTACTAGTGAACATTGCAGTTGCTCTATCAACATTTTAGTTTCTAAGTTATAACTGCCTTTTTGCAAATAGTTTTACAATATTTAAAGAAAATTGTTAAACAAATCTATCTTCCTTCATTTCTGACATTTAAAAGTCTTAGAGTTCTTCATTTTTCTTTTTTACAATATTGCAACAGAAGTGTCTGGGCTGTGTTATCTTAAAATAAAATAGAGACAACGCAAAGCAAATGTATAGATAGCATGTTATCTAAATAAAATGCACAAAATTAAAAAATTGGAAACACAGGAACGTTCACATAATAATTTAAACTTTGGTCCTCTACAAAATTGTGTGAGGTTTCTCTTTCTAGTGAATATTGCAGTTTCTCCATTAACATACGGTAACTTATAAGCTAAAGCACATATGTTAATGGAGAAACTGCAATATTCACTAGTAAGGGTAGAGGGGAAGGTAAACTGAACTAGATATCTGTTAGATATTTGGTTGAGTCCTGTAGGACCTTTGGCCTCCTGAGATGGCTTATCCAAGATGTTACACTAGTTTAGTCATCATATGTGTAAAGTTACAGAACACACACAGATACAATATAACAGGAGACGTTCCAAAGATTATTGAAGTTTATAGATTACCAGGAAAAGAGAAACCTCACACAATCTTGTAGAGCACGAAAGTTCACATTATGATGAGTACATTCCTGTGTGTCCTATTTTTTTATTTTGTGCATTTTATTAAGATAACAAACTATCTATATATTTGCTTTGTGTTCTCTCTATTTTAATTTTAAGATATCACAGCCAAAACACGTCTGTTGCAATATTCTAAAAAAAAATGAACTCTAAGACTTTCAGATGTCTGAAATGAAGGAAGACAGATTTGTTTAACAATTTTCCTTAAATATTGTAAAACCTTTTGCAAAAATGAAGTTATAATTCATAAACTAAAGCACATATAACTGCCTTTTTGCAAATATGTTTAACATTTTACCTTAAATACTGTAAAACTAGCTATCATCCTTCATTGCTGACATTTGAAATTCTTAGAATTCTTAATTCTATTTTTTAGAATGTTGCAACAGAAGTGTCTGTTCTGTAATATAAAATGAAAATAGTGACAACGCACAGCAAATATATAGATAGTATATTATCTAAATGAAATGCACAAAAAAAATGGACACAGCAACGTAAACATTATAATTTGAACTTTGGTGTTCTGCAGGAATGTGTGAGGTTTCTCTTTTCCTGGTAATCTTTAAACTTTAATAATCTTTGGAACGTCTCCTGTTATTTTGTATCTGTGTGTTCTGTAACTTTACACGTATGTTAACTAAACTGGTGTAACATCTTGGATGAGCCATCTCAGAAGGGCAAAGGTCCTATAGGACAAATCGTTACCAGATATCTAGTTGAACTTTCCTTCTATTCTTACTAGGGAATATTGCAGTTTCTCTATTAACATATGTGTTTTAGCTTGATAGTTAGAACTGTCTTTTTGCAAATAGTTTTACAGTATTTAGGGGAAATTGTTAAACATGTCTACCTTCCTTCATTTCTGACATTTGGAAATCTAAAGAGTTCTTTTTTTGTTTTTAGAATGCTGCAACAGAAGTGTCTGATCTGTTATATTCTAAAATGAAAATAGTGACAACGCATAGCAAATATATAGACAGTATGTTATCTAAATGAAATGCACAAAATAATAAAATAGGACCCACAGGAATGTACACATAATTTGAACTTTGGTGTCCTACAAGATTGTGTGAGGTTTCTCTGTTCCCTGGTAATCTATAAACCTCAATAATCTTTGGAACGTCTCCTGCTATTTTGTATCCGTGTGTTCTATAACTTTACACGTATGATGAGTAAACCGGTGTAACATCTTGGACGAGCTAACTAAGAAGGTTCTAATGGGCTCTGCCAAATCACTTTAGAAGAGTTGGAAAACTCTGGGTGCCTGAAGTTGCATCCCCTGCCTCTAGATTTATCCTACAGAGAGCATGGATTGCTGTAAAGATTTACACAGAACATGGATTGCTGTAAAGAGCTAAGCAGGGCCCTGCAGCATAGCTCTTACTGGATGAGTGTCAGTTGAGTGCACTCAGCCATTGAGCACAGTCCAGCATTGGCCAGATTTATTGTGTAGAAACATCCAGCATCTTCCTCTGCTGTAGACAGAATGCGGTGTGGGTGCCCGAAAGGCAGAGGTACATTGCCAAACCATACTAAAAATGTTTTTGACTACTTACCACTAAGACACTTCTGGCACCATAACTACTACAGCAGGCTTGTGGTTATACGATTATGGTGTTTTAAGTATTTATTTAAATTTAACAGGGGCACCTGACTGGGCTGACATGTATTTTGTGTTCTGACTCCTTTTTGCATGGGTAAATACAATGCTAAAACCATCACCTTAACAGCTCATGTCAACCATAGGTTGAGTGCTTAGCATCTGTGGCTACTAGGCTACTGGGACATTATTAATGTTGGATGCAACTAGAAAGTATGGTAGGGCAAAGCTGGGTTAGAAATATATAAAGAATAAGCAATAAGAATTTACATAACTCTGGCAATCAAGTACTGACTTGAATGGACTTGTCACATTATTTTTAGAAATATTATGCAACCTTTTACTATTACTAAAGAAATAGCAATTGAGGTAACTTTGTTTCTCCAACCTACCTCAATGTGAATATACAGCTTGAAATCTACACCATCCAGTGACACCCACCACGTTTAAAGGGACACTACAGGCACCAGACCACTTTAGCTCATTGAAGTGTTCTGGGTGCAGTGTCTAAGCACCTTTAACCCTGCAAAGGTAATTAGGTCAGATTTTTTTTATAAACTTCAATAATTACCTTGCGGGTTAACTCCACCTCTAGTGGCTGTCTACCAACCACTAGAGGAACTCCCGGTTGTCAGGTGACTTTTGGTCGCCTAACTGACGCTGGACATACTCACTATGAATGGGGACGTCCAGTATCACCCAAACCCCATAGGAAATCACTGTATGTGCATATGTGCATTAGGTCTCCGCCGCCAGCTGACTGGGGAGAATTAAAGACGGACCTGAGCCAGCGCTGAAGGACATTGGCGCTAGATTAAGGTGAATGATAGAAGAAGTGAGCACGATAGGGAGCTATAGTGCAAATAAAACAAGTTTGTTTTCCTGGCACTTTATTTTCCTTTTAAGTCTCTGTGTGACCGGAATCTGGCAGTTAACCCTTTTTTGCTAAAGACCAAGTGTTTTTCTTTACCTTATCAATGCCCTGATTTGGCAAATATGGATAGTGCAACATGAAGCTGTCAGGCTCCTGAATGACCCTTACCATATTTTCTCTTCTGGTTAGTCACTGATGGGGAATCTATTCTAAGACAAGCTTCGGAGCCCTAAATAATCCGGGCACCTGTAACTCAACGTCTGTCATTCTGCATTTCATCACTCTCTATCCATTCAGCAAGTCTATGGCACAGAGTATACAAACAAATCAGATCCCATTAGCTTAGCCATGCTGAATTGAAGCACATCTCCATTTTGTCAGTGAGGTCCCGTCATTGGTGCAGGGGATTTATGATATGTTTGCTTCTAATGATCTTTTGTCTTATCTTTCTTAATCTCCCAATACTAATTGTACAGCATTCTAAGAAAATAGTTATAAAGTAACCAGCCACAGAGATGTGATTGTAATACCTAAAAAACCCAGAGGGTGAATATGCAGTGTTCAGTGTTAAAGGGAAAAAGACATGAGGCACGGTCATTTAAGTAGGCTATGGGTTGTTCATTTTTTAATGTGTGTTTATGGGTGCAACAAGCAAAAAGGATAAGGTAACAGATCGCCCCCAGAATTTGGCATGTATCCTGAGGATAGCAGAAGGGAAATTTCCACACACTGTTTAGAGTGTGGGCTTAGAGTGATTTAGAAGTCAGGTAAGGGGTATTTGGATTTATAGTAATGGTTAGGGGAATTTGTGTTTAAATGTTACCCACTTATGATGCAAGGCGTACCCTGGACCGGTATCCCGGTAATGGGGCAAACTTTAGCAATGATTTGCACTTTACATGGGTCCCCGTCATGCTCTGAGTTTTCATGGAATGGCTTGTGATGTGCTTCTTGCTTCTGGAAAAGCTGGGAACCAACCCAGTTCCAATTCACTGACTCAGAGGGTCAGCTGACCACTTTCAGCCAATGAACGGCACACTGGGCAAAAAAAATATTCCACAGAATTGACATTAGCCAGTCTGGAACTCTAATTCCAGGTAGGCTGTTGACACCTTAGACATGGGGTTAAAAGACCACTCTAGGCACCCAGACCACTTCAGCTTAATGAAGTGGTCTGGATGCCAGGTCCCTCTAGGATTAACCCATTTTTTTATAAACATAGCAGTTTCAGAGAAACTGCTATGTTTATAAATGGGTTAATCCATCCTCCAAATCCTCTAGCGGCTGTCTGATTGACAGCCGCTAGAGGCGCTTGCGTGACGCTATGAATGCTTGCGTGACGTTATGAATGCTTTCCTATGAGACCGGCTGAATGCGCGCGCAGCTCTTGCCGCGCGTGCGCATTCAACCGAATGGGAGGAACGGAGGCGGAGAGGAAGAGGAGAGCTCCCCGCCCGGCGCTGGAAAAAAGGTAAGTTTTACCCCTTTCCTCTCCCCAGAGCCGGGCGGGAGGGAGTCCCTGAGGGTGGGGGCACCCTCAGGACCAGGGCTGCCATCAGAAATTGTGGGGCCCCTGACACAGCTCAAGGTCTGGGGCCCCCGGTGCCTGGACCCGAGTCCGCCCAAAGTGCTGCAGCCCCCCCCCCCGAGTCCGCCCACAGGAATGCAGTGTCTGCAGGGCCGGTGCAAGGATTTTTGCCGCCCTAGGCAAAAGTAAAGTTTGCCACCCCCCCATGTGACATCACAATGCCCCACCCATATGATCTGCCATGTTAACTAACACCAGTGCTGCAGTGCCGCCGTGTTTACATTAAAAGGCCTGCAGGGACAGGCTATAGACACCAGAACCACTACATTAAGCTGTAGTGGTTCTGGGGACTATAGTGTCCCTTTAATGTGAGGTAAATTAGAGATTGTGACAAGACCAATCTTGCCACATAGCATTGGAGGAGCCTGGTTGCCCGCCTGCTGCCTTTGGATTATGGACCGGCAGTTAAACGGTTAATTTTACTGTGCAGAAAGATTTATTCCTTCCTTTCTGCACAGCCGTTCGGTAGATTCTATCTACCGAACAAACAGACTTCTATTAGCCTCCCCAGAGCCGTGGGAAGTCGGTTAACCGCAGCTTAATTGACTGTTACTGGGTGGTCGCGGTTACACCTAGCCGCCACATGATGGCGATGTTCTGGAGCTCCCCGGGCAGCCAGCGCTTTTCTGCCCGGCTTTCCTACGCCAAATCTGGACACTGTGTCAGCTAAGTACCGCTGAGCCTCCAGCCCCTGGTTCT